CAAATAGGAACAGCTTCCAGAAAAAAGGACATTTTTTCTCCCTGATTATAGTAAAAATCCGTGTTAATGACAAAGCTCTCATTTGCTTCATCACGGGGACAGGATTTCATCAAGGTGCAATGCATAAATTTGATATATGATTGCATGTGATGCACAATCAGAATTGCAAACTATGTAGTCAGTTTAGCGGAAAAAGTAGTAAGTGAACACTTCATGTTACATTGGCAAATTACCCTCATGTGATTGTATGGTTTTATCGAACAGCAGATTTAATAGGACAGACTGTTGGAAAATGTTCTGACTGAATTTGAGACCATCTCTCTTGCTGGGTGCTAGAAGTTTATTTTTAAAATCAGTTTCAAAGTTCTTGGTTCTCCGCTAGGCCTCTTATGCTGTTTAACAGATAAGAAAATGGTTACTATCATATTGTTTATATTTCATGTACCCAATTACCATGGTACACTGGTCTTTATAATAGTTTTATCAAAAAAGAGTCATAATATTAATATGATCCTTACAGTCCATGTGAGTAGCTGTGGTGGAAATATTGCCCTGTTCAGTGCATCATCTGCCGTTAATTTTCTTGGAAGTACACATTGCTGTGTCTGTTGTGCTTTGACAACATATTCTCAGCCTCACAGCTAAATCTTAGCCTTTGAGTGTTGAATTTCCCTTTGAAATTAGGGTTTCTGCAATTCTGTGTGATGTTCTACTGCTGTTAACTCTATTAATTCTCATCCAGTAGGTTTGAAAATGTATGGGTAAGAAAGTAAATATAGTAACTATAGTAAATATAACTTTGTGGTCTTTGAAATGTGGATTTCTTCCCTAATATCTGACGTCTGTCCAGACACTTGTTTCCATAATGAAATCTGTAGAAACCTGACTTTCCTAGTAGAATCATTCTATAACTTTCTGTACTCAATGGATTATCTTTGGAAGTGAATTAAAAACAAAAACCACAACTTGCATCAGTGCTATAATTTATTTTTCATGTTGAAGTAATAAAAAAAGTTTTGGTGAATAAGTATGGTTACATTTGATAATGATTCAGGGTTGGTTAGTAAACTGAAGGCAACTGCTGCTTGCTGAAACCCTGCATGCCCAGTCCATCTCCCAAGAACAGCTCTGTCTCACAGCCATTTTGCATGGAAGCAGCTCAAACTGGTTCACACAGCTGTGGGAATGCACAGCTGTAGTCATCCTTCCTAAAAATCATGCAGAACTGGAGCGATTTGTACGAGTGAGACTCAGATTTCGAGAGCTTTCCATGGACAGAGCTCTGTGATGCCTCTTAGGGAATTGGGATAGATCAGCCCTTACCAGAACCCAGAGGCATAAGTTCCTCTGCTCTTCCTCTTTAGCAGGAAATCTCTACCCTCTCTTTTCAATTCTTTCTGATTGTCTTTTTTGAAATGCCTATGTTTAGCCAGAGTTCAGGTAGTCTGCACTGCAGTTACAGCAGTGTGTAGCAAGTAGAGAAATCTGTGCAGTACAGTGAATGCTAAAAAAAATTAGGACAATGTAAAATCAACTTAACTAATATTAAAATTGAAAACATCACAGGAGTCTACCACACTGGCTATGTTATTCATTGCATCTAATTTTTTAAAAGCCTCCACTGTAAAAGGACATAAATTAGCAAGAATTTCTTGACTGCAGAGCATAAAGGGTTTACACAGTCAAAGTATTTTTTCCTTAGGACTTAGGTCCTCTTTCTTTAACAGGTAATTGTCTTCTTTATCATTTCTTACTTTACCAGCTGCTAACAGAAGAGAATTATTTAAATTGTGGCACACCAAAAAATTACCTTAGAAGAAGAATTATTGGATGTAAAGTATGTGCAAATAGAAGCATTGGAAATTATATAGAATCTCGCATTTATGAACACGAATGCTCTTTCTTTTCTTTCCTTCATTCCCAATTTCATTTGCCGTGTAGATTTAATAGCTCTCTTAATCTCAGAAAATGCAATGTATGAAGACACTATTTAACCTTTAGGGACTATTAAAGAAATGTATGCCTAATACCTCATGCAAAGGCATCTCCATCTCCTGACAAGATTTCACCGTGCATAGTAGGTAAATAAGAGGAGAAATAACATGGAAGACATAAATTTCTGTCAGAACTCACATAAGACAATCACATTTTGGCAAAGATTAGTCTGGTTTGTTATTTCACCAGGCAGTGCAGGGCCCCTCCTGCAAGCTCCTTGAGTGAGAACAGCCTTCAGCAAACCCCATAGTTCTTAGGGATCCCTCTTACTCTTTGCTCAAAAGTCCATGGATGTTTACAAATAGCTGAGAGCACCCTGGACATGGAGTTTGGCTGCACCAGCTGAAAACAGTCATCAGATCAGCTAAATGTGGGCCAAGACTAACACGAAGACTCTAGGAGTCCATCAGCTCCTTAGCCAGCAGCGTGGAGCAGGTACAGCAGGGGACCTGCCTCAGAGGGCTTGGACTGCGTTACCTGTCAATAAACTTTCAGACCCGGAATAATCATGTGGAAGTAGTATCAGTTACTGCTGAATAAATGCACAGCAGGAAAAATCAAAATGACACTCAACTTGTCCTGAAACAAGGTTGCTAAGGAGGAGAAGTGCAGAAAGGATGTGTATATTGGTAGAAAGAGATGGGACAGCGGAGAGTTCTAAAGGGCTCTTCTTGTAGAAAGATGCATGTGCAAGTTTGGGAAAAAAATTAAAAGAAAAGATCTTCTGCTTGATACTTGCTGTACCAGGGCCAGTGAAACAACCTGTTAGAATTGGCTTAAACTCTGCTGCTTAACTTCCTCAAGGCATAAATGCTGAATCATGAGATCTGCTCTAGAGGGAACCATCAGAGCAGCAGGAAGCACTGCTATGGCTGGTATAAGACATGCACAATTTGAACACCTAGCCAGCGACTCCTGCATACTAGGCTGGGCCCACAAGAATAGATCATTATGCTTTTAAGTACAAACAAATGTGAAAAAAAAGAACGGAATACAAGTGGCTCAAAACCTATGCTTTTTGTTATTAGACATACTATATAGATAGTTTGTAAATACTTTTTGGTAGAAGTGCTTAAGTATACTTTGTCCTAACGTGCTGTGTGCTTTCTACTTTAATTTCATGCCTAAATCGATAGGTAATTATAATCTGACAAGAAAAAGAGATTGCAATGGACATGATCTACCTGCTCTGCTGTTAAATTGTAATGTGGTTGGCTGGATTTACAGTGTTACCACAATTTTTCTATACCATTTCCAGAGTCACTGTGAGAATCAGGAAATAAACTTCTGGCAAATCATTTCAACACCATGCAGAATTGTCCCAAAAGCCCTTTATCTGTGGCTGATGGAAGAGGGAAGGTTTTGATGTCTAGTTGTTGACACTCATTTGTCCAGGATTTAAACAGCTTCCATCCTGGGTCTTATGACCAGATGCAAATTAGGGAAACTCTATCCAGGACCATGGTCATTTAGGCAATGATTATTAAAGCAATGTATCCTTGAAGAATTTGAGAGGACAACTGCCATCACAAATAACATCTGTGTCCTTCTCTAAGCCTATCACACAAACTCACATGCCCCCTACAAATACACACATATGAGAGAGACTTTTCCCCCCACCCTCAAACCTGTTAAGAAATGGACAACTGGATATGTAAAAAATTCTCTTCTTTGATTTTTGTGCCCACCAGTCATTAAAGAGTAATTTTCAGAGCAGCACAAAAAAAGAAGAGCTGGTTGACCAAACAATTTTTTTCTTACAAAGAAGTGTCAACCCTGAGCTTGTAATTAGGAAGTTAAAATCTGTGATTTAGATATATTTATATATATAAAAATAGATGATCATACTAAGACTAAAAAAGTGAAAGAAATCTCCATGTCAGTACTATATATTTGTTTGTTCTGAAATTTTGTAGAAGAAATCCTTGTGACACTGAAATTAACTGATATGAAAGATGTAGTTAAGTGTGGAACACACTATTGATCCGGTCACTGTTAGTCCATTAGAGAATTGCTGTCTTGGTAGGATAATGAACATAGTAGCAGAAAGTCCTAATCGATGGCAGAACAGTGACAAAAGGAAAGAGATTATATCACAAGAGATTGTTTTCTGTCCGAACCCTTGAAGGGAGATTAGTCAGGAGCGTTGTTTAGCGTTACCACCATGGCTGGTGGTGAGCTAAGTGGAAATCTGTGCCAATTGTATAACATGGATAAATACTAAAAGAAGCTAGGTGAAATAATGCTACTACCCATTTTTTTTACTGGGCATTAAGATTTAAATCCTAAACAACTGTGACACGATATTCTGAAGCTAGTGGAGTTACTACCATACTAAAAGATAAACTTATTTTTCAGCTTCTCTACCTTCATACCAATCAGATGTGGTTGGCAGATGGAGTACAAGACATTCACTGTTGAGACAGACTTTTGTGTTGGAAAAAAAAATCCAGACTTCCTCCCTATAGCAATGACCATTCATTGATGACCTGAATCATCTACAGAAGTTCCTGAAGGAAACCTGGCTGTCCGTGAAGAACGGTTGCATTTTTTTTGTTCCTTTCTTGTCTTTTTTTTTGTTTCATTGATATTCTGTTGAAATTCAGCAGCCTTGAGTCAGGCCTGATTCAGAAAGAAAACTTTTCTTGGTTTCTTCCCCCCTCTTTTTTCTCACTAGGGAAAAACACACACCATAAGATCCTTTTTAATTTTTGCAGCATAAAAGGAAATGAAGCTTGGAAAGTCTCCTGTAATAAAGGTTTGAGAAAGAATTCTCCCAAGCGTGGATATCATCTTCAGACATATCTGAAAAAAGCAGGAAGCAGTTCAGTCTGGCACCTGGTACTCTTTGGGAAAACAAAAAAGGGAAGCAGGTTGCAGTACTGCTCTCTTCTTGTAGAAAACTGCAAGTGTTTGTGGCACGGTCCATTGTCCGAGAGTATAAGAAAAGAAGAAAGTTGGCTGTTTCTGTAGCTAAAACACAGTTTCTCTGACCAGATCCAGGATTATCTCCACTGTCTCTGCAGTACGAGACTGATGAACACGATGAGCAATGTCTGCAGTGACCAGCCAGGCTGTGCGGCTGATGCCTCCACCTCCCTCCTGTCGGAGTCAACTGGTGGTGCTTCGGTGGTGATGAAATCAAACTCAGTGGGACAGATGTCATCCGTACAGCCGCTTCCGCTGCCTGAGCCGCTGGTTTCGTCACCTGGCACAAAGGAGAGAGGGAAACAACATGAGGGCCATGGGTTACAGTGTTCGTCCCTTTTCTCTGTTCCCATACCACCCAGCACCCCGGTGGGGATGAACATCTTGGGAACAGGAAAATGGTGGTGGTGCTAACTTTTGTTCAGTAAAGCATCCAAAAGAAAGCCACTGTGATTTAATTAGGTGACTAAATGCTCTTCTGAAAAAGGAGTGGACTGCTGGCATCATGGAAAGCCAAATATATAACTGGAACTTCATGGGACAGAAGAAGACTTCATGTTGTCAGCAGCACAGAGCACAAAGACCAAAGAAAGCCATTGTATTGGAACCAATTTATAAATGTGTTCCAAAAATATACTTATATAATGACAGTTAATGGTTTCTTACTTGTATCCTGGAAGTTGACATCATTTCCATTATACGCATTCTTCAGTTTGTTTGTCATGACACGTAAGGCCATGATTTGTTGTCGAATGAAAGTATCTGGCCTTGTGATGTCCACATCTACTTCTGGATTGTTGATCTGGTTGGTCAACCCATCATTCATAATCTCAGGCAAGTATCTATATAGCAGGATGAATGATTAGTTTAAAATGCAATAAGCTTCAGAAATAAAAGTCTGTACAGTAAATGCTATGCTAAGCAAATTGACACTGATAATGATTACACAGTTCTTAAACAGCTCCAGTGAAAACATTTTAAAAATATGGTTTTTAATTTTACAGACTCTAATGGATCTTTTTAGTAGCTCAGCTGCATGGAGAGCAGAAAGGATTTAAGCTCTCCAAGCTCCTAACTCTTTATATACTCCCCAGGAAGTGCACTGGCTCTGTGAACTATGGAAGAGGTTCACCAGCCAGCAGTAAGTCACTGCATGTTCAGATCCTCTGCTGATATGATTGGTTGCACACTAAATTAAGCACCTAACTGTGCATTCTTCTGTTTTTATTTCTTCTTGCCTAAAAAATATGAACTCCTTTTTTATATATAGCATATTTGTTGTTCTGAGATAGATTAGAAGGCTATCTGGAGGCATTATGGCTCTCCTTGTTTAAAGGAAGTAATTAATTTTCTTCTCCAATTCTTCCTTATGTTCCTTTTTTTGACCACTGTGAACATTTCCAGCCCATCCAACATGCAGGCCCATAAACAGTGTTGAGCATTTACCAAACTCTACTATTCTCTTTGATTTGGTCCTTACTCCTTACAAACACTCTATACCTGCATCTCCCATGTGCTTTGTGCATAGCATATTCAAGGTATGGCATTTCCTATCCATCCACACATCTGAATTTTTTATTCAGGCTCTTAGCTTATTATTTCTTGATTACTGCAGCATTCACTTCCCTAACCCTGGCAAATGCAGTCTTAGGCTGCTCACTGGCAGCAAGTGTGCTTTTGCAGGTATCTCTCGCCTACAAAAAACCACTCCCTGCCTCCAGTCATCCTATGGTAAAAGTCTTAATAATCTTTTGTTAAATACTCACACTTTGTTCCCAGCTGCTCTTTGTCCTCAGGAAACTCTCCTTATAGGTATCTGGAAAGCTACCTTTTTTCCTTCTTTGAATCCCTGTTAAAAATTATCTGTGCATTTTAAATCTGCTAGGCTAATAAAGGACTGACATTATTTCTCTGTGCTGGCATGGGATCCTCCATCTCCTCTCTCATCTGTCTTTATTTACCTACCGTCTTTGTTCTACATTTAGACTGGAAGGAATTTGGGGCATGTCCTGGGTTAAGCTGTGACAGAGTTAACTTTCTTCATAATAGCTAGTAAGAGGCTGTGTTTTGGATTTGTGCTCAGAAGAAAGCTGATAAAAAGTGATGTTTACGCGGCTGCCAAGGTCTGCAGACTGAAGAAGCTGGGAGGGAGCACAGCCCCAGTTACTAGCCCAGGATTTGATCTTAGGTTTGGGATTGAGACCCAGAGTGGCCAATAATCTATTCCGTAACGTACACGTCATGCCCAGTATATAGGTGAGGACCCTCCGGAAGATCGGCCCTTTTTTTTTGGTTCTGGATCTCTTTTGCTCCGGGTCATCTCACTCCAGGTGGTCGGTCTCCCAAGGCCTTCCCCCCTCCCTTCCTGGTCAGCCCTCGGTCTGGGACGCTCGGACTGTTGTCTACCCTTTGTCCACGTTCTTTATCAGGATATGATCTATTTTGTAACTAGTTTGCATACCCGTCTATCCTACTGATGTTTGTGGGACTCCTTGTGTCGGTATGTGCTCAGCCAGTAATGGCTTCATCATGGCAAACTTTCATGATGTCTGGTACCAAATATAGTTTAAGAGTATTTCATTTCATTCTCACTTGTGCCATCTCAATTCTATATCAATATTCAAATTTGGCATTCGTGCCAGTGTTATTTTCATATTGGTCTGGAAAATAAATATATCCCTTCAAAATACATGTGAAAAAGGAGTAAGGGAGAAAAAAGGACTTTCTCTGCTGAAGTCATGGTTAAGGGAAAATAAGTTTTGTACTGCTTCTGGAGGTTCATAAAATGATGACTGCTTTGCTGCACTAGGGAAGGGTTTAGTCTCATTGTAATACATCCTTGCTTTGCAAGATGAGGCTCATTTGTCATCAGTGGCCTTTGAAAGCTTACATGAGAATAATCCTGGGAGAGTGTGAATATATAAGAAAAAAAACATGACTGCCAAAATTACCCGGCCTCAAACTGCATGTCCTGTTGCTTCACTAGTACCATACTGAGAAATAACAATGCTGTAGGGATCCCATCCAGGCTTAACTATGGTGAGAATACAGAGCCACCTCCCCTAGTATGGAGGACTGCAGACCGTAGTGTTATGAATCAGCAATGATAGAAATTGGAAATAATTCTGCAGAGCTGCCTGGAGGCAGCAGGACTGAGACCTTGGCATGCAGGGAAGCTCTGGGCTGCAAAGGAACAGCACCTCCATCTGTCACACGTCTCCACAAATTAAATGGCTGCTGTAGATAAATTACTCAGCCTAGAAGTAAATCATCAATTTCAAGGTACAGTTGATTAAAAAAGGTAAGAATGTAAGAATTGCCCTACTGGCTCAGAGAGAATGTCCATCTTGCCTTGTATCTTGTCCATGACAACGGTCATAGCTGTTAGCAGCTAGAAGTGATTTGAAATTGCTGAGCGTTCGTGTGGATTGCTTTCCTTGTTTATGAAGGGTTAGTTGCTCTTTATTGCAAGCCATCCATGAGAAGCTACGGCTAGACCTGAACGGCAGTTCACAGTCTTTCTTTGACTGATTTATGTTTGATTTCATCTTGTCTTATAGTCATTAATAAAAGAAGAATGTACGGACTTCTTAGTAAGCTTTTCATGTGGAGAGAATATGAGTTAGTTAGGAGATTTAACACAGTTAAAGAGTGCTCTGCTGTGTGCTTTTTATCGAGCTTCATATTCTGCACTGTGATCAGTGTGGATCTAGTGTCCTTCTGAAGACCATCTAACTTGAAATGGGCCAGCCCATTCAGTTGTAGGAAGAGACTCACACCCCTCCCAGTATCTGCCTCAGGACCTGGTGATCCTCAACGCATTCCTGGCATGGAGGGGTTGACGTCTCAGGAGAATGGTCCAGTGCACCTCACTTATATGTGAGGCCACACTGGATGTGGGTCACAAGAAACCCATTACCTTAGGATTGCCTAAAGGTTAGGTGGATACTTAAATTCCCAGGGGAATAAGCCTTTTGGCATTTAGGGCATAAGAGCAAAAGCATTAGAGAGGCTGAGGATTCATCCTTAGGTTTATACAGATACCAAAACTTGTATGTCTGAGTGCAAGTGTCTAAATTGAGCTGTTGGAGTGGATCTAGAGGAAGGCCATGAAGATGATCGGAGGGCTGGAACACCTCCCCTGTGAGGACAGGCTGAGAGAGTTGGGGTTGTTCAGTCTGGAGAAGAGAAGGCTCTGGGGAGACCTTAGAGCAGCCTTCCAGTACCTTGAAGGGGGCCTACAGGAGAGATGGGGAGGAACTTTTTTCAAGGGCATGTAGTGACAGAATGAGGGGTAATGGATTTAAACTGGAAGAGGGAAGATTTAGACTAGATATTAGGAAGAAATTCTTTACTGTGGGGGTGGTGAGGCACTGGAACAGGTTGCCCAGGGAAGTTGTGGATGCCCCATCCCTGGAAGTGTCCAAGGCCAGACTGGATGAGGCTTTGAGCAACCTGGTCTAGTGGGAGGTGTCCCTGCCCATGGCAGGAGGTTGGAACTTGATGATCTTTAAGGTCCCTTCCAACCCAAACCATTCTATGATTCTATGATTCTGTATTAGCAGAGTCCCACTGTCGCCAGATTTAGTCAACGCAAAATCTGGTCAAAACTAGTCAGGAGTTTATTCATCAGTGGAGTGGTGGACAACTGTTGGAGTCCCATGTGTCTTTGGCTAGATGACTAGTTCATTAGATTTAATCTGCTGGGTTTTAGTTGCACAAATATAGACATCTGGTGCCATTTGAATGCTCTTTGTTATTCCTCCTCTTCTCGTTACTAGCCCTGAAAGGTGTGGCTTTCTGATAGGTCCTGCATCATATCTACATGCTTGAGGGGGAGTTCTTGTACATCTGGGGCATCTGAAATTATATTAGGTGTCTTTCTTTAGACAGCTGAATTGAGTCTTGAGTGCCACTTTAGCCACCAAGGGATATGCTGCTTGGTGTCCTGCTGACACTCCAGTGTGGTTTAAACAATGTATAGACCCAGATCTTATTTGCCAGCTCCACGAACATGTCTTGACTATTGTTGTGGGTTAAGCACAGACTGCTTAAAGTTAACTCTGTTATTTTTTTTTTTTTTCTCCCTCTTCTTCATGAATAGCTAGCAAGAGGCTGTGTTTTGGATTTAAGCTCAGGACAGGAGCTTATAAGAACGATATGTTGTTCTGCTGCCAAGGTCAGCAGACAAGCAAAGAGACACAGTCCAGCTGCTAGCCTGGTTTGCTCTTAGGTTAAGATTGAGAACCAGACTGACCAATAATTTATTCCATATCATGCACGTCATGCCCAGTATATAGGTAAGAACACCTGGAAGAGTGCTTTTTTGCCTTCGCTCCGCTTGCGGTTTCGGTGCTCTCTTCTGTCTCTGCATCGCTCTCCCAAGGCCTTTTTCCCCTCCACACACACACCGGTCCGGGATGCTGGGACTGTTATCTCCGTTCCGTGAGTGCCTCCGGGAGTGGTGCACCCTGCCCCTCCCCCCGTCTGGGGGAATCGTGAGTGT